CCCCCCCCCCCCCCCCCCCCCCCCCCCCCGACAACACACTAACCACAGTTCCTCAGAACTCTGACAGTCTGTGCGGGTGGGTCAGATGTGGCAACGTGGTGTTCTTTTCACCAACTTTTAATGTTTTTCATGGATAACAAGCCAACTGTAACCCTGCTAAGATGACCACCCATGAATACAGATGAAACAATTCTCTCAAACAGACACAGTTGTGGACTAGAAAACACATTTTGTAACCCTGTAAATTCTTTAAAAAGATACTGCTACATCATTTTAAAAAAAACAAAAAAAACTCCATTTAGTCAGTTGACCTGCCAGAAGGATTTGCCTTTTGATAGCATCAAAGTATTTCATCTCCACTTATTACATACATTTTGAATATGATGAACAGAATTGGAAAAGAGCTTTTTCCCTTTTTCCAGTGAACAAAACAATTCAAATTAGCACGATATAAAGAAAGTAGATGCCAAGTAGATGAATTTGGAGTCACTTAGCAATTGAGTGAGATATGTGTTCTCCATAGATTTGATGAGCAGGGTCGCAGCATTTGGTTGAGTTGGGTGTGTGGCCCAGCCAGCCAAGCAGTAAATGATGGCGTCTCTGAGACGTGCTCTGGGGCTTTGGAGCAGCACAATAGTCCCTGAGCCAAGCCCAAGGGCTGGGCCAGGGAGGGACCTGCTACACACTCTCTTCACTAGCTGGGGCTCAACTACTCAGAGTCCAAACTAGCAAAACCTTTTGGTTTTGAGAAGGGAGAGGAAGAAGAACCAAAGATCCAAGCTTTACATGAGTCGAGATGACAATATCAGGCTGTGTCAACTCACAAAGGGTTCAGAGTGGAAGAAAACGTCAGCTTCCAGGAGGCAGGGCCAGACTCAGAGTTTTCATCTGGGTTTCATTCAGTGGGCGTAGAGTTAATTTATGAGATGATGCAACAAATTGGTGTACAGTTTCTTCAAACTGGGTATATAAAAAGGTCAGTTCACCCAAAACATAAGTGTTTCCTCTTACCCAGGTGCCATCTATCAATGCAAATATTTATGGTGGGATTTGACGTGAGGTACACCTACAATGTGACAGTTCTCATTGGCAGGTGCTTGTGACCAGAGAAAATGGACGCATTGTTTTTCTCAACTGAGCAGAAAGTTCAGTGGGGCTTGGTGAGTTAGAATAATCTGCTAATGTTCATATAAATGTGTGCTAGCGGTTTACATCCCATTGAATTGTCACCAAGTAGTCGGTCCAAACGTATTGGCAATCATCCCTCAGGGACAAGTTAGCCAATAGGCAGGTGAGCATCAACCAAATCTAGGGCTGAACTAATTATTATTTTCCTGAGGTTTTCATCGTGCTATTTTTATCTGACCAAAAGTTATTCAATGTATGATTACAGAATAGAAAGAAAACAAGCACATTAACATTTGAGAAGCTGGAACCAATAAGTCTGGGAAAGAGGAAAATAAAAATGTTATTGCATTTTGTGCGACGCGACCCTTTATCTGAAGAAAGCATGTTTGTAGATACTGTAGACATTTCCCAGATAACGCAGCTTGCTGGTATCCATAAGAAACAGGCTCACCTTGGTGCTGGCTACTCCGATCTCAGGCCCGGCATTGATGTGGACTCCGCAGTCGGTCTCCCTGGAGATGGAGCTTCCCACTGTGTTGGTGATGCCCACAGTCAGAGCTCCTCTCTCCTTACAGTAGCGCAGCGCCATGAGGCTGTCAGCCGTCTCCCCTGGAAAATTGGCAGTAATAGGAAAACATAGTTCATGACATCCAACAGTTCCAACGGTAAAATATTGCTGATTTATTAGTTTGTTAGGAAATGGGTTTTGCACCACATGGGACTGATTCGAAACAGCTTAAACAGAAAAAACACAAAAAAATATGAAACACACCTTGAAAAAAGGAATAAATATACATCACACAAAACAAACATACACCCATTCAGAAGACTACAGCAGAACAGTACAGCACCAGAGTGGCACCCAGGGATAGAAAGTGGAAAAATAGCACCGGCCACCCCACCTGATTGGCTAATGAAGAAGCAGACGTCGTCTCTGAAGACGGGAGTGTTCCTGTCCAGGAAGTCACTGGACAGCTCCACCATGACAGGCAGCTCGGTCAGCTCCTCCAGCACCTGGCGGGTCTGGGAAAGCAACAGAGCGCTGTTCAGCATCATTGTGTTAAAACAAGCCAGTGGAGCTCAGTGCAGAGAAACTCACACCTGTGTCCACAATACAGTCATGACCTACTGGTCTGATGGATTCAATATGGATGGCAAGACAGACATGTTTCCATTATGTCCATTTGGTGAGGTGGCCACTCACCGCTACTCCTGCATGGTAGCTGGTTCCACAGGCAATAAGGATGAGTCGCCGACACCTCTGGATCTCTTTGATGTGGTCCTTCAGTCCACCTAGTATCACTGAAAAGCAAAACAGAGAACTCATCATTCTGCTCCATTAGTTTATGCCTCATTAAAAAAAAAAAAAAAAAAAAGTGACATGCAGTCAACCAGAATGATCAATGTGTTCATGTATGCGTTTGAGAAGAAAACAGTGCATTTATAGATGTTTTATTACATCAGTTGCCACTGAGAAGACTGACCTATGTTGTCGTCGAAGTTGATTCTCCCCCTCATTGTATTGACCACAGACTCCGGCTGCTCAAAGATCTCCTTCTGCATGAAGGAGCTGAAGTTGCCTGTGGAGGGAGGATCAGAAGTCAGGGGAACATTCACAACACTAACGTAAATGCCTCTTAAGAACACGGTGATGGACTTTTTATGAAGTGTGCCGTCTGAGAAGGGTCTCGTTGACACACATTAAGTGCATGAAAACACAAACCACAAGCTCCTGGAGAAGCAAAAAGATCTTTACAATGTTTTTACTAATAAGTCAGGCTTTCCTGAAAATGTAGGGAGTTACTTTCTTTTTGTTGCTATATTAACATATTCAGGGCCACAGTACAAGTCATTCCTTACATGAAGGAAAACAAACACGAGACATCAGGGAGATGAGTGTTTTTACATTAAAAATAAACTGATACCAAAACATGCGAGCGTTTTTCTGCCTGCCGCTGACAGCAATTTAGGTCATGCAAATTAGGTTATTCAGCAGAAACTGAAACAGAAGAGAGGCTGAGTAATGACAGGACCGCAAAGGAATGTCGAGAGCAGCCAATATCAGCTTACATCTGCCCTCTGCTGGACGACTGAAAAATACAAAAGTTCACATTTTTTATTGCGTCCTTCAGCTTTAAGAGTGTTCACATCAATAGTGGATGAACAGTGCAAGGCATGACTCCTTTTTTCATCAAAGTTCCCCAATTTAACGACATAGCAGCAAACTATTTTAATTTTATCAATAGATTTTAGTCCCGTTAGAGCTGCAACAATTAGCTGTTTGCTGGTTCCAGCTTCTGGCATATGAGCATTCGCTGGTCCTTTTTGTTATACGATAGTAACATTTTTTTGTTTTTGGACTGTTGGTCTCAGCAGGTCAATATCAAAAATAGTGTTGTTGTAATAATAATAATAATAATAATAATAATAATAATAATAATAATAATAATAATAATAATAATGAAACTGAGTAGTTTGACACTTTAGGAAATTAGTTTATTTGCTTTCTATACTAAAGTTATGTGAAAGGATCGATACCTCGGTTATGTCTGTAGGGTAAATATGCGGCTATAGCTAACAGCCAGTTAACTTGGCAAAGAAAGACTGGAAACAGGAGTCTGACTCTCTCAGTAACACAATCTACGTTCCAAAACCTTTACGTCCCCGTCAAGAAATAGTCCCACATGAGATCTGAGACATGAGAGTTAATCCTTCACTCAACTCACAACAAGAAAGCAATTAAGCACATTTCCCCAAAATGTGGAACCATCCCTTTACGGAACTCTATCTGAAAAGTTCTTCAATCCCTACACCGTTCATCTGACGTAAATTGAAATATTCTCAAACTAAAATTCAGACTTAAAGCTCGTGACTCTTTGTTTGATTTAAAATCCTATGTGTGCGAGAGTACAAAGCTAAAAGTGTTTCACTGCTCTACTACATACTGACTGCAATATTTATCACCTCTGGCTCAGAGGGAAGGTGAGGCTAATAAACCTGTAACTCAGTCGTCCTTTTAATGACAGTGGCTTCCCTGGGAGAGCAACGGATCCAGAAGGGTTGTAACTAGCTGGATGATAACAAGGATGGCCTCAGGGCTGTCTCCCATTAAGACGTACACAGTAATAACAGGGTTCAGAACAAAATTACAAGACAGTTCAACAATGAATGCCTGTAGGGGAAACATATGATCGGGAGAAAATCAATAGATCAAATGCCGACCTTCCACTCACCCTTCATGATCTGCTGCAGCTCCATCTGCAGGGTTTGGATGACGCGAGCTGGATAGTCTCCTGCCGTGCGCTTTATCCTGTGGATGGACAGCCGGCCTTCCACCACGGCAGCCACATCATCGTCCTCCAGGAAGATCACCCTGTTTGTGTGCTCAATCACCGCACTGTAGAGACGAGAGAGACAGACCACAAAGAGCTTTACAGCACCCTTCGCCCGGACTTTGCTGACTTCGTGCTCGCTGCGACTTGTCACTGTGCAGGAAGGAACGGGGCCCCCTTCTCCCGGAGCGACTGTCAACTGGGGTGGACTGTCCTCAGTGCGTGTCTGAGGCAATGTCTGCAAACCACCAAACCCGTGTTGAAACACAGACCCAGTCATGTTTACCATGCTTTGTGGATGTAACGTTTCTGTCCAAGTCGTCACAACTCTCATCTTTACAACAAATGTGTTTATGTTTAAATTGTTTACAGGACAATTTCTTCATATATCTAGCCTCTAAAATAAAATTACGACTTGACAAGTCGACGGAGGGATCACCAACGGATGATTCGAGTAATCGAATTTCAGTTGGCAGCCCTTACACCGCACACATGAAGGTGAGACACATGGAACTGGGGAGCATGGAAAGTCTTTGGATGCATAGATGCAGGTATCAGCTCACCTTGCATCAGAGGCAAAGTAGTACTCCACAGCTTTCTCATCCACAGGGAACAAGCAGGTGTCCTGGTCCATCCTGGGTAGGGCGCTGCAGCCCTTCTTGTCTTTACTGGCTGAGGGGAAAAAAAGAAAAACTGGCCTCAGTCACACTTTTGCATCAAACATGGACGAAATCAGACTGAAGTTTTAACTTACTGGAGCGGTAGAGCACAGGAATATGATCCGAGGACAGCTTGTGATCACTCCGCACTCCCATCAGCAGGGGACTTCCCCTCCTGCACAGCAACATCTCTATCAACCAACAGTACTTAACAACAATAGCCAACAACAACAGTTTGACAGCATCAGTAAGAGTGTACCTTGTGCCAACCGCCTCTCCAGGGTAGTGGACACTTTTGAAGACCAGGGCAAACGATCCCTCCTGGCAGGTAGAAGAACAAACTCATCAGGCTCTTTTATCTGTTGATCACTTCAGGAGCAGTAGTGTGCATGAGCAGGTCCTTACCAGCAGCTGAGTCACCTGTTCCACCAGCGTAGCGAAACTGATGTCATTGTTCTCCCGGTTGTCAAACATGTACTTCACCAGCTTGGCGATGGTCTCTGTGTCGGTCTCTGATTCAAAGTCGTAGCCTTTGCTCTCCTGCAGAGACGGAAACAGAGTTAATCCTTTCTCCTGTCAGCGTGATGAAGAAGTATCTAGAATACCGTAGTTTATGATAAATATTTGCTCACCAAGAATTTCCTCAGGTCTTTGTAGTTGGTGATAATTCCATTGTGAATGACAATGAACTCTGCAGACCAGAAAGATTATGAGAAACTTTAAGATATCAAGATACCTGCAACCAGGTCAGAAAAGTGAGCCGTGTGGCTGTGTGCTGTGAGTTAGCTTTGCATCTCTTAACACAACTGACCATTGCTCTTGTCAGAGCGATGTGGATGGCTGTTGACTGGGCTTGGTGCACCGTGGGTAGCCCAGCGGGTGTGAGCGATGCCGAGATGAACATCAAACTCCACATCCATGTCCATATCTTGCTGCTCTAAAAGGGCAACACCAATATTCAGTATCCCACAGTACACAAAACGACAAATCCACAAGGCATCATTTGTCAATGGTTGATTCATGGCACTTGGCTTACTGTTGATCTCCTCATCAAGAACCTTCACTTTTCCACGTTGCTTGATCAGTTGAATGGACTTTGCATTCGACTCCCAGTCCTTGCCATTGCCACCATCTATTCCCACACCTAACAAAATACAATAAAATAACAAAAGTTGCATGAGAATTACAGTGATCACAAGTCCTTAAAGAAATATATATTATGGTGCTATTATGTCCCGTTTCTAATGCCAGAACAGAATTTCAACATAACACGCTGCTACAATTTACCAATACGTGGAAAAAAACCTTTAAGACTTCACATAGTGAATTAACTCCATTAGTGGGGCAGTAAGTCTAACCCAGCAACAGGATAATGGCTGTTCAATTATTCACAAAGACTTGCTTTGTGTTCCTAATTAAAAAATAAACACATCAAGTGTGACTGATAAGACGATTCTAATGCAGCATTAATGTAATGCTGCAGACACCATCAGCAAATTGGTGGCGTTATCGGAATAACTGTCCTGCAGGCAGACAATGAAGAGACAGTCAAGGAAATAGGCCAGATAAAAAAAAATAAAAATAAAAAAAAGTGTGTGTTGTTGATAAGAGCCTTTTCCATCTCGCTCACCAGCTGAGTCGTAGCCTCTGTACTCCAGACGGTGCAGACCTTTGAGGAGGATCTCAAGGATCTCACGGCGAGTCCTTGGCACATGGTAGTTGAGATAGGCAAAGATTCCTGGGAAGAAGAAGGAACAAAATCTTTAAGTCAGAGCTGCGTTTCTATATAAAGAAGTTCTGCCCTCTAAAATAGACCTTTTTGTTAATTACGTCTTCCTTTAAAAAGTATTCTTAGAAGTGCAGCTGAAAGCAAAGACTGATTGAAAAGCCTTTCAAGAATAAAAAAAAAAAAGTATATTACAATGTTATGCATATTTTGATTGCATACAAATCTGTGCAAAATCACAGAAAATAATCTGTGGTCTACCGTCTTTACATCATTCTTGGAATTGTTTATCTGTACAAATGAATTTTGTAAAACCAAAACATGACAGTCATACCATCTCGGTATAATTCCACCTGAAGTCGATAGATAATAATATTTACACTAATACGAGAATGAAGATATAAAGTTTGAAACCAACATTAATATAATGTGATTCCTTAAGATGTGACGAAGTGGGATAAGCATTACCAAGGGATGTCAGCCTCTACTATTTACTAGACTAAAAGTCAAAAACTCAACTGTTCACATGAAACTTACAGGAGCACAGAAAAACAACTTTAGTCTGGGCAAGGCCAGCTTACAGACAATAGGTGCAGTACGTCCATAGACAAGGCATTCTGCAAGCTCATATCTCATGCCTCAGGAGTGTCACAAT